TTTACGTGAAATTTCGGGAAATCGCATTTTTTTCTCCGTAATTTTGAAAAACTCGGAGGTGAATCTTCTCTATTCATAATTTCCTGCTATTAGAGAAGGGAATTCGATTGGCATGATCCTGTAAATTAGTATCACACCGTTGCCAGCTCACTTCACAGGTCCCATCAGGACCATCAGATCCACTTCCGCACAGATGCAGTGGTTTCCCGTCGATAGCAATGTCGACCAGTCGGACCCTCCAGGCATCGGTTGGTGGATGGATATTGTGCCTATGTGTTATAGTTCGAGAATACTCAATAGAACCATCTCACCAATGTAGTTTGTCCGACTGATCAATGTGGTGCCTGTCGATCCCGCCTATCGCGACCGATCCTTTAATAGCTGTGTCGGGAGATAGATAGAAGCTGATAAGCCTCGGATGGTGATGTCGGAATCTACATGTCTCGATAGACTCCATCATAGTTCCCCTACACTCACCTCGCAACCTTGAGCCATTCACCAAGGAGTGACGAATGGTGACCATCCCCAGAGTTTCCGCTGGGTGGTAGTCCCAGAATACCATCGAAAGGCAGTTTCTTGAAGGGATCGGGACTTTGGTAAGAAGTCATGCCCAACGGCTGAGACGATGGTTCTGTCGCACTGCTCTCAACGTAACGGTACTCATTCAAAGTCACATATTCAAAGCTCTTACTTGTCTATCGGCCGTAAGTGCCGTGACGGGCTTGGTGCTCCCCGATGGTCGCGGAGGGTTAGTGCGTTCGTTGAAGCAACCTCTGAGCGAATCACACAGCCGAATTGTGTCTTTGCCTTCTCTGAAGCGAACCTGGCGGTGGCCTGACGTTATGCATTGGCAACCGGCATACCTCCCCAGTGCCATAAGTCATGCGGCGTTCGCCGCCAATGCTTTGCTGGAAGCTCTGGCTCTTGACTGGATGAAATCTGCAGGAAGCAGTGGAAGTGGCGATGAATGGATAAGGTTTCGCAGCGAAATTTTCGCTGTAGCATCCCACTGCTATTTATGTTTCAGAAGATCGATGATGTTGTTAGATGCTACTCGATACACGAGTAGTGTTGGTCACCTACTTATGATGATGAATGCAAGCCTCGCCGTGACACCGTTCGCCGGGTACCCAGAGCTTCTCTGATCCAGTATCGTATATCGCTAGGAATCTCTGCGGTGGATCTCCGATGTGAACCTCTCCGTAGTATTGAAGGTTGTTGTTATTAACCTATTTTCGAAATACTAATGATACGAAAAGCTGTGAAGTAATCGCTAAGCGCAGTCACTTTGGCTGGTGAATCGAGCAGAAGGTACCAACCAGATCCGTTTTCATCAGCGGACTTCCGAGCCCTCGGCTCATCAAGCTAGCGACACTTTCCTCAGGATACAGTCTTTGATGAACATGCTTAGGAGGCTCTGATAAAGCCTTGAGTGGTG